GAAGACTTCCTGGAAAAGACCCTGATGCTGGGAAAGATGGAGGGCACAAGGAGAAGGGGACGACAGAGGACGAGATGGTTGGACAGTGTTCTCAAAGCTACCAACATGAGTTTGACCAAACTGCGGGAGGCAGTGGAAGACAGGAGTGCTTGGCGTGTTCTGGCCATTGGGTCACGAAGAGTTGGACACGACTAAACGACTAAACAACAACAAGTTGGGGAGACAGCAGTAGAGGCGAGAGGGCGATTGCTTCCTATAAAAGCATACAGTGGTACCTCTGGATGCGAACGGGATCCATTCTGGAGCCCCATTCGCATCATGAAGCAAACACAACCCGTGTCCGCGTGTCTGTGCGTGTGCAGATTCGCCCCTTCTGCGCATGCGCAGGACGTCATTTTGAGCATCTGCGTATGTGCGAGCGGCGAAACCCGGAAGTAACGCGCTCCGTTACTTCCGGGTCGCTGTGGAGTGCAACCTGAAAATGCTTAACCTGAAGCTACTTCAAGCCGAGATATGACTGTACTGCATATTTGGGGGGGGGGACTGGTTGTATTCCTGTATTTTGGATCTGCTCGTGGTTATCGTGGCCCCCATATATTAGCTGTTTCAGTTTATGATGATGTCTTAAGCGGATGTATAATCGATCTGCACTGCTTTAAAATATGGATTTGTAAGTTGTATATATTTGTGGTGTTTTTACGATGCCGTAAACCACTCAGAGATTTGTTGGAAATATTCTTATTAATTTATTAATCACCTTCCTCAAGAGCCCCAAGGTGATGAACAAGATGCAGTAAAAACAGCCCAGTAACCCACACCAAAAATAACAGCATATAAATTTAAAAAGAATACTGAGCAGAGACCAATTTGTCTAGCTGGGAAAGTTTACCGGAACAAAAAAGTCTTCCGTTGTTTCCGGAAGGTGCCAATAGTGGACGCCTGTCCTGTCTTAAATATGAAAGACTGGAGGAACAAAACCAGTCTGTTTCCTAGACTACCATTTTGGGAATAGTACTGAACAGTTCCTTTGAGATGTGATATGGGCTTCTGGGAAAGCACACTCCTTAGAACCAGGGCTACAATTCCAGACTCTAATGGACTTTCTGGGGGCGGGGAGAGGGTCTCTCTTTAAATGGTAATGTGCAGAAGGATAGGGTTCAGATCAAGGGAAGTAATAGTCCCGCTCTATGTTGCCTTGGTACAGTCCATGCCTGGTGTTCTGTGTCCAGTTCTGTGTGCCACAATTTAAGAAGGGTTTTGACAAGGTGGAACGTGTGCAGAGGAGGGCGACCAAGATGATCATGAGTCAGTCTAGATAAGGTTGCTGCTAAGAGCAGCTGCAGACACTCAGTGCAGCATTCATTTTTAGTTTAGACCTCATTTAGCTCTGCATATAGTTGTATATTATAGTTGTAGATAGAATAAAAAAGATATTCTACAGAGCTGCTCTCTGAGTCGTTTATGCTCTGCTATACTCTGCTATACTCTGCTGTGCGACGACTGTCTTCTTGTGGAAGTGAATCCGGTGCTCACAACTCTAAGCTGTGAGTCCACAGCACTTTGACCTGTTCCTGTGCAGAAGGTGGTCTCTGGAAGTGCTACCCAGCTCGCCTAGCCCAGTTGGGGCTGAAGTGGATGAGTCCAGTTGGTGGCACTGGCTCAAGGGCGATGCTGACAGATCATGGGTCTGGAAACCAAGCCTGATGAGGAACAGTTGAAGGAGCTGGGTACATTTAGCCTGGAAAAGAGGAGATACGATAACCATCTTCAAATATGTTAAGGGAAGATGGAGCAAGCTTGTTTTCTCCTGCTCTGGAGGGTAGGCCTCAAACCACTGGCTTTAAGTTACAAGAAAAGAGATTCCAACTCAACACCAGGAAGAGCTTTCTGAAAAGTAGGAGCTGTTCGACAGTGGAGAGGACTCTCTGGGGAGGTTGCAGACTCTCCTTTCTTGGAGGTTTTTAAGCAGAGGTTGGATGACCACCTCTCATGTATGATCTTGTTGAGATTCCTGCATTACCAGGGGGTGGATATGACCCTTGGGATCTCTTCCAATTCTACGATTCTGTGATTACTTCCCTTCCTTCAACACGCGGCAAGCTAGCCTTGCTCTGTTTGGAGGTCCTCCTGTTCATTCTGCTTAGCAGGACACGAGACATGTGCCCTAAAGATTTACCCTGGCAATGCCATCGCTACAACTTTTCCAGCCATTGCCTTCTTCCCAGGCAATGATGTGGGTTGATTCAACCTGCATTCACGTGAGCCAGTGTGGTGTAGTGGTTAAGAGCGGTAGACTCATAATCTGGTGAACTGGGTTCGCTTCCCCGCTCCTCCACATGCAGCTGCTGGGTGACCTCGGGCCAGTCACACTTCTCTGAAGTCTCTCAGCCTCACTCACCTCACAGAGTGTTTGTTGTGGGGGAGGAAGGGAAAGGAGATTGTTAGCCTCTTTGAGACTCCTTCGGGTAGTGATAAAGTGGGATATCAAATCCAAACTCTTCTTCTTCATATGGTATGTAACTTTTTATCATCTGTTTCCAATGTGCAAATAGTTTTGTTTAAGTGGTATGTAAATCTTGGTAACTAAATATTTTATGTTCACTGTTTCTAAAGCCTGTTTTTGAACAATGTTTTATATCATTCTATGTAAAGAGAGACAGTGCAGGGTAGTGGTTAGAGTGTTGGACTGGGACCTGGGAAGTAAAGGGAAAGGTACCCCTGACCATCAGGTCCAGTTGCGGACGACTCTGGGGTTGCGGCACTCATCTCGCTTTATTGGCCGAGGGAGCCGGCGTACAGCTTCCGGGTCATATGGCCAGCATGACTAAGCCGCTTCTGGCAACCCAGAGCAGCTCATGGAAACGCCGTTTACCTTCCCGCCGGAGTGGTACCTGTTTATCTACTTTCACTTTGACATGCTTTAGAACTGCTAGGTTGGCAGGAGCTGGGACCAAGCAATGGGAGCTCACCCCATCGTGGGGGATTCGAACCACCACCCTTCCGATCGGCAAGCCCAAGAGGCTCAGTGGTTTAGACCACAGCGCCACCCGCGTCCCTTGGGACCTGGGAGATCCTCACCCAGTCATGAAGCTCACTGGGTAACCTTGGGCCAGTGACTGCCTCTCTGCCTAACCTACCTTGCAGAGTTGTCGTGGTGAACAAATGAGGATGGGGAGAACCATGTATGCCAAGTTAAGCTCCTTGGGCAGGGGAAGGTAGGATATGAATGCAATATAAAAAACAAACTGCTTTGCAATTATTATTATTATTAAGTAATATATATATATATATGTAAATAAGCATATAATGTCTACTATTTTTCAGTCTATTTTAATTGCTTTTAAAAGTGTGTGACATTTTATGATAACCACTTAGATTTTTCTTTTAAAAAAAATATGCAGTATATAAATCTTACTAGAAAAATATAATGGGTGGAAATCGGAATGCAGTGTTGCACTCTTCTAATCATTCCCTCTGCGCAAGCATTTCAGCTTTCCAGATGGAACGATTTTCTCTCTCCTCCCTGCACTGTGTTCTGTTTCTGGGGGTTGCCCTGTCCCCATCTCAGCCAATTTCAGGGGACTCAGGGAGCACGTGGGAGGAGGCGAGGGGTGTTTGTGCAAAGCTCAGTTGGAGGAGTAGAAATCCTTGACCAGGGTCATGTGAATCCCACCCATTACGTCTCCTATTTTCAAAGCTTTCTTGCTATTTTAAGAATAAATACCAATTTCATGTAAACAGGATTTTTTAAAAAATAATATTGGTAGATAAATCTGTTAAATAAATAAATGTGAGCAAAAATAAATACCCCTTTCTTTATGTATGCTACAACAGCAGCAAGAATACTTATTGCAAAGTATTGGAAGACACAAGATCTACCCACAGTGGAGGAATGGCAGATGAAAATGATGGACTATATGGAATTGGCAGAAATGACTGGCAGAATCCGAGACCAGGGAGAAGAGTCGGTGGAAGAAGATTGGAAGAAATTTAAAGACTACCTACAGAAATACTGTAAAATTAATGAATGTTAGACTGATGACGGATTGAAGTTAAGCGGTTTCTAGCAGTTATGGTTAAAAGAATTGAAAAATTGTTTTTTTAATAGGTAAAAATTTAATGTTATAATATATTAAGATCAAAGATTGGGATTAAAAAGGAGGGAAAGAAATTGCTGGACTAACAAACTGAATTGGAATACAAAAGAGGGAGGTATGAGGAGGTCCGGGAAACAAGTAAATATAAAAGAAGTGATGAAAACACGGAATTGTTTTTAACTGTTTTTTTTCTTTTTTTTCTTTTTGTATTTTGTATTGTGTATTTTTTCTTTTTATTCTTAAATTCTTCTTTTTTATTAATGTGATTCTTTTCTTGTGAAACTTTAATAAATATCATTTAAAATAATAATAATAAATAAATACCCCTGAACACATCCACCCGCCCGTCGTAATGCCCCTCCCCCTTTCCTTATCCCACAAGCCACTTTTCCTGCTTTACCGGGGTTGGACTGGATGACCTTTGGGAGATCCTTTCTACAGTTCTATGGTTCTGCCTCGCTGGCTCCATCCCCACAACTAACCAGCCCCTCCCGCCTCCCACCGTCCCTGCGCTCCCACTGGGCTGGGGGCCGAGTGTGCTCCTCCCCCCCCCCCAAATCTCCTTCCCCGCCTCTCGAGCATCTCAGCAGGACATTCGGCGAGGGCTCTCGAGCCGCTCCGGAGATGCTGCGAGAGCGTCACCGCCTCTTAGCAACTCGCCTAGCAACGAGCCCAACATCTTTTCCCTCTGGACCAATCCGGGAAGGAAGGGAACATCTGGGCGACCGCCTCCCTGCTTCTGGGGAGAGAGGGAGGCGATGAGCTCGACAGTGACTGGAGGGACCCGCAGGAGCTGGGCTGGCTTGTTGCAGCCACGGGAGAGGTTATTTTTTTGCCGAAGGGAGCGTGGGAAAGAGGAGGCAGCCCCCCACCGCCCCAGCCAGCACCCCGCACCTCTTTGGCATGTGCGCTCCTGCAGCGACTGGGAAGGTAAACCGGGCGATCCCGACTCCTTTTCTCCCCGTTTCTTGTTCTTGTTTAGGCTAGGACTTTGCCTGCTTAGTCCTCACCAGGACCGAGTCTCCTCCGTCTGCTTCCTCGTGCGCTCCCGGAGCTCGGCGCTGGCGAGAGTGCTTCTGAGCATGCACAGAGAGACTTCCCTAAGCTCCGCCGAGGAAGCGCGCAGCGCGGGCAAAGCTTCCAGGGGCCTGAGGGTGGGGAAAGTATGGAGGCGAAGAAATGGAGCTGGTTTGTGCCTAACTGGGCTACTGGACCGCTCAAAACCAGTTTGGGCTCATTCAGTTTTGTATCGCCTCCTTCCTTTTGACTGGCAGCCGGGAGTGGGGCGGGGAGACCCTTTACCCTGGTACCTGATATCTTTTAGGATAGGATAGGGACCGAACCTGGGACATTTCCCCTGCAAAGTGTGTGCTCTTCTTCTCCTCACCAAGGCCGAAGCGTTCCCCAGCTAAGAACAGGGGGGCTTCATCCGCCCAATAATCTCTCAGAGTCAATGTCCAAGGATGTGTCTTCAAGTCAGCTATGACCAGGGCTGGCCCATGCATGAGGCCAGGTGAGCAACCGCCTCGGGTGGCAGAGCCCCAGGGGCAGCAGATCACAGTGTTGATCTCCCTCCTGCCTTCTCCCTGATGTCAATCTTCTCTCACTCCTTCTTCCCTAGCAGAGAGGGGGCGCACCCCAATTTGGGGTTTGCCTTGGGTGCCGAAATGTCTAGGGCCAGCGCTGGCTATGACACCCTGTGACCAGCATCTCAGTCAAAATGAAACCCCTCTTGATAGTTGAGGTGGCTTTTGTTTTCTCCCTCGTTTTAACCTTGTGGTCTTCCTGTGTATGTTTGCTGGGATGTGTTTGCTTGATGGCTTGGAGGAAGTTTCCCTCTTTGCCCCTGGAGAGATCCAGTCACATGGGGAAGAAGGACAAGAGAGGTGGTGGCAAGGAGACGACCAGGTGTGTGTGTGTGTGTGTGTGTGTGTGTGTGTGTAAATTCATACTCACTCCGGAGCCAATCTGCAACTCCTCACTCACCCCACCCGGATACTCATATTTTTTTCCTTCTGGAGAGTCCCCAACACAACCCCACCTTGTAAGCCTCGAGTGTTCGAAACTCTGAAAAGTAACCATAGAAACACTACTAAAAGTTCTCTTCCATGTGAAGCAGCCTCCTCCCTGGATGAAATAACTGTCTATATATAGAGAGCTCATATACGTGCCAATATGGAGGGATTAGGCGCAGATCAAAATACCCGTTTTGTGACTGGAGCTGAGGCTCAATTTTCTGGCATTGTTTAGAGATGATGCCTATTATCCGGGCAGTGCCTTCGATTCCTTAAGATTTAATCTTTTATTTTATAATTTTAGATCCCACTCATTTCCGCTGCGGTCATTTGTTGTCGTTGTCCTTGCTTTGCTGCACATGCCACTTTTTAAATATATATATAAACTAGAAAGGTTCACCATAACACTTTGCAGGGAATTAATGAAAAATAAGCTGTCTGTCTGCAGTTTTTCTCTTGGCACTTTTGAATCGGCACTATCCTGTGTTTCTGTGCTTTCTCCATTCAGCAGACATTCTCCGCGCTTATACATAGCGATCTATCTATACCTACACGAGAAATTAGATAGATAGAGCAATTATGATTTAGTGCCCTAGAGTGTGTGACTTATTGGGGAAAGGCTGTAGCTTAGCAAAAAAGCATCTGTGTTGATGCAGAAGGTCCTAACTTCAATCCTGGGCATCTTCAGGTGGGACTGGGGATGTCTGGGAGAGCCACTGCCAGTGTACAAAATAATAAGCTAGGTGGACCCAGTGGTTTGACTTGGTATAAGACAGCTTCCTATGAGCTAGGAAGTCCCCTCAGCAATTAATCATAGAATTGTAGAGTTGGAAGGGACCCCAAGGGTCATCTAGTCCAACCCCCTGCAATGCAGGAATCTCAATTTAGCCCTTCGTTCCTCAGACGCTCATCTGCAATAGGATAATAATGCTAACATACCTTGCAGGCTTCTTGTGAGATCACTGAAGATAATGCACGTGAAGTGCTTTAAACATTCATAAATCGTGGGGATTTCATCCATATTGCTTTTTGATCAATTGATTAAACAATAGTTAATCAATTATACACAAAAGGCAAATGCTGGGTGTGAGCTATCCATCAAGACCTTCTGCAGCATGGTGCATGAATAAAATCATTCAAAAACTCAGCAAATTTCCCAAGTTTTCATCCATCCTTTGCCGGAATCATTTGCCACTAGAGTCCTTCACTGGTGCCTCTTAATTGTTTTGGATTTTGGCAGGTATCAATTATGAAGTTGTCATAAGGTGTCAAATGCAAAATGCCATTCTATATTGTGTGATAAATACTGTCAGATACTAAATTCTACAGCAAACCATCAATCAAAAACAAAATGCACCTGCATTTTGACTCTCGGAGGCAGTCAGAAATAAAATATGCTGTGATTTCAATCTTCACATCCTATCACATTTCAAATGTTGAAATAAAAACAGACCATCTTAGCAAATGCAGATATCTGGGGCTTGATCCCTCTAGGGCAGGGTTCAGCAAGCTTTTTCAGCTGTGGGCTGGTCCACTGTCCCTCAGACCATGTAGTGGGCCGGACTATATTTTGAAGGAAAAAACCAAACGCATTCCTATGCCCCACAAATAACCCAGAGATGCATTTTAAATAAAAGGACACATTCTGCTCATGGAAAAACACGCTGATTCCTGGACTGTCTGCGGGCCAGATTTAGAAGGCGATTGGGCTGCATCCGGCCCCTGGGCCTTAGGTTGCCTACCCCTGCTCTAGGGGCATAGTTTTGACATGCTTATCTGTAGCTGCATGGATGAGAGGCTGTATGCACAACTAAATGTTGTTTGGCATGCAACCAACAGTGTGGGACTCCTTATGAAAAACACTCAAATCCCACTGTTGGGTTGCTGGAGGAGGCTGGGGGTGGGGAGTGTCTGGATTCAGCCCTTCCCATTCTCCTTTCCTGAGCAAACAGCTGATTGGCAGGATTTTAAGTATTTAAAAATGGGCTCGTCATTAGCAGCATGTGCCAATTGGGATGATCAAGTTTCCTGAGTATATCCAGCAAATTTTCCAAAAGTGAAGAGGGTGCCTGCCCTGTGCTCCACATCAAAGTTTGCGGAGGGAAGAATTCCGATGTATTTTTAAGCAGAGGTTGGACAGCCATCTGTCGTGGATGCTTTAGCTGAGATTCCTGCATTGCAGGGGGTTGGACTAGATGACCCCTGGGGTCCCTTCCAACTCTACCGTTCTATGATTCTGTGAGATACTTTGGAAGGAAATGTGCCTTGGCAATCAATGTACAGAGCGACTTCATTGTGAAGACATCCTGGTGCGCTTAAGAAATCCAGACTTTTAAATATTGTTTTAAGAGACCGTGCTAGTAAAGGAAAACACATTGCGATGCTTTTGTCTGGATGGTCAATGCAGGGAATCAGCTGAGGGTCTTATATCAGCCTGGCAGAGATCAGTAGGCCCATCAACCAGCCCATCACAGAATAATATAACTGTAAGGTCTGCGACTGGACTTAACTGTCAGGGGTCCTTTACCTTTTACCTTTAAGGTTGGAAATATTCCCCATACCTGTCTTAGGGAAAAGTGCATTTGGCAGTACCACATCTCAGAGCACCCAGATCTTTTTTTAAAAATATTTTTTATTAAGAATTTCAACATAACAGTTTATCAAAAACATATCATCCTCATTTCCCTCCCTATTTTTCCCTCGCCCTTCCCCAACAGAACCCCCCCCCCGACTTCCCTCAGCTCCTCTCTCTCTCTGGTTTTTCAGCACATGTTATTCTCTGCATATTATAACATTGTAAAGATCATTAATTTATCTATCTATATGTTACCAATAATAAATCTGTGTATGTTTATTCAAAACCTGCCAGTTCATTTTGCTGTTTCTTTAAGTACTTTGTAAAAGGTTCCCATTCTTCTTTAAAGTCACAGTTGCCCTTATCACGTAGTTTGTGTGTCAATTCCGCCAATTCTGCATAGTCCATCGGTTTCTCTTGCCACAGTTCTTTGGTCGGGATTTCTTCATTCTTCCATCCTTGTGCTATTAAGACTCTTGCCACCTTTGTCGCGTACATGAAAATGTTTTTTAATAGAGCACCCGGATCTTTAATCCATCTTCTGACAATGTCTCCTGAACACGAGTGGCGGCACTACGGTCCTCATCCAATACTTTAGAGGTGTTTAATAGACTCCCCCAAATTGTCCTCTCCAGCGGAAGAACAAGAGATGGATTGTGGAGCAGGGTCTTCCAGGGCCCTCTGCAATTAGGATTAATTATGTATACGCAGCATTCTGCCTCCCCCTGCCCCCAGCTGCAACCACACTTAAGTGGTGCCATCGAAATCAATGAGACTTCCTTTCAGATCAATAGGTTTGAGGTTGAAGAGTTCATTCGCCAAGCACTTTTGCAAAGCTCCCTTTGTTTTGTTTTTTTTAAATAATATTTATTAAAGTTTCAAAAGAAGAAAAATCACATTAATAAAAAAATTAACAATAAAAAGGAAAAAAAAAGAAAAGAAAAAACAGTTAAAAACAATTCCATCTTTTCATCACTTCTTTTACATTTACTTGTTTCCCGGACCTCCTCATACCTCCCTCTTTTGTATTCCAATTCAATTTGTTAATCCAACAATTCCTTTCCCTCCTTTTTAATCCTAATCTTTAATCTTGATATATTATAACTTTAAATTTTTACATATTAAAAACCAATTTTTCCATATTCTTTTGTACCTGTACAGCTAGAAACCACTTAACTTCAATCCAACATCATTCTAACATTCATTAATTTTGCAATATTTCTGTAAATAGTCTTTAAATTTGTTCCAATCTTCTTCCACCGACTCTTCTCCCTGGTCACGGATTCTGCCAGTCATTTCCGCCAATTCCATATAGTCCTGCAAAGCTCCCTTTGCACAGTTACCCTGTGAGGGACTAGGCCCGGGCTATGTTCCCTTTTAGAGCTGGGGTGGGGTGGGGGTGGGGGTGAGGAGACCTGCCTGAGGCCGATTCCTGCCTGAGGTCACATTTGAACCCAGGTCCGGGTTTGTAAAAGAGTCGTGCCGGGGTGTAGTGAGGGAGAGAAATCAACGCTGAAGACCAGTGTGAAGTTTGGGATGCACCATGTCGAAAACACCCCGCTCTTCGTGTTTGGAACTTGGTCAACTGATGGGTTTGGGGGCTTGTCTGGTTTGGCAAATGTAAGGGAGTTTTTGAGCATCTCTCGGGCCAGATGGGGCCAGCCTCGTATGCAAACACAGCCTTCGTATCTTGAAAGAGGTAACCTGTCCTTATGAACCCGAAATGGCACGTCCCATGCAGAAGACAAAAGTTTTAGAGGAACCCCGTGGGTTGCAGAGGAAACTGATGAATACTGGGCATGCTCAGTAGCCACGGAATGCTGAGCATGGGGGAGGAAAATGGGGGGAGGAAGCAGAATGCAATGGAGTATCTTGAGCCAGGGCATGGCTGGCTGGCGCTAGAGTAACTGCATGCCCTGCTTTGCGGAGAACAGTTCTTTCTCTGAAAGAATCCTGTATTTGAAAGGCTGTCTACTGTGAGTCTGGCTTAAGCCGACAGGGAAAAAGAAACCAAAGGAGTGAGAAATGGGGGCAGGGTCTTGAACTTGCCTATTAACAGTTAGCAGCACCTGGAGAGGTGAGTTGAATTGTGCTGCTATTTATTTATTTATTTTAATATAAATTTTTTATTAGTTTTTTGACATATCGTTTTCAACAGTAATTAAACATACTTTCATATCTTACACCATTTTTTTTACTTCCATCAATCACATCTGAAAATTTTCCAATTTATTCAATAAATATACATTTCTTACTTCCACAATTACATTTAACTCATAACTAATATCTCTATTCTTTCTCTACTTTGCAATGCTTCATACATTTCTCTTAACAAAACTTCTTGTAGTCCTACTAGCGTAATTTGATGAATACAGTTGCTCTTCAAATAGTTTGTATATTTCTTCCAATCTTCTGTAAATCTCTGGTCCCGCAGGTTTCAAATCCTTCCTGTCATTTTATCTAATTCTGCGTAGTCCATTAACTTTGTCTGCCATTCTTTTTTCGTCGGAATTGCATTGCGTTGTCATTTAAATCCTAGAACCCCTGTTTCTAAATTTTCACCCAAATGTATAAATTAGCACAGGCAGCCTCCATAGAATCACAGAACTGTAGGGTTGGAAAGGACCCACCAGGGTCATTTAGTCCAGCATTGCAGGAATCACTGCTAAAGAATTCTTGACAGATGGACACCCAAGCCTCTGTTTAGAAACTTCCAAGAGGGTCCACCACTTTCCAAGGTTATCCGTTCCACAGTCAAACAGTTCTTGCTGTCAGGAAGATCTTCCTAATGTTGAGTCAGAATCTCCTTTCTCATCATTGGACTCCTTTGAGTCGGGCCCTACCCTCCAGAGCAGTTGAAAACCAGCTTGCTCCATCTCCCATGGGACAGCGCTTGAGATATTTGAGATAGGCTATCCTATCGCCTCTCAGTGCCCTATTTTCCAGGCTAAACACACCCAGCTCCTTCAACAGTTCCTCATAGGGCTTGGTTTCCAGACCCTTGATCGTCTTGGGTTCCAGCTTGTCAACTTTTTGCCAATTGCTGGAAGACTCTTCTGGTTCCTATATGTGGTAAACATTTCTCTCTCTCTCGGCCTCTTTTTGCCATTTTTGTGGGAGAGTTGGAGTTTTAGAAACTCCTGTGCACTCTAATTATTTGGGGTTCTGCCCCATGGCCTGGGACTTGAGAAGCTAAATTGCCAGGTGAGCTAAATCTTCGCGAACTTCGACAGCAGTCTTGAAACTTGCATGTCTGACGATGGAGAACTTCTCATCACACATAAACCACACGGGATTCTTCAGCTTTCTTCTGAGACTTGAATGCCATGCAGAGGTGCCACCAAAAGCCAACCCTGAAGGCTCCAGGGACAGTGTGGCTTCTGGACCATCCTAGAAGAAGAAGAAGAGGAGTTTGGACTTGATATCCCGCCTTTCACTCCCCTTCAGGAGTCTCAAAGCGGCTCACATTCTCCTTTCCCTTCCTCCCCCACAAGAAACACTCTGTGAGGTGAATGGGGCTGAGAGACTTCAGAGAAGTGTGACTGGCCCAAGGTCACCCAGCAGCTGCAGGTGGAGGAGCGGAGACGCGAACCCGGTTCCCCAGATTACGAGACTACCGCTCTTAACCACTACACCACACTGGCTCTCGTACAGGCCCACAGCTGAAGTTCTTCTACTGTTTCAAAGAAAGATCTCCACAATTCCTAAACTAGCCTGCGCTGGCAAGGGGAAAGCTTGAGGGCAGTACATTTTTAACCCAGCGCATAGAACTATGGAATTTGCACTTGCAAGATGAAGGGCTGGCTATCAGGTTGGATGGCTTTAAAAGCATATGGGGCAAATTCATGGAGAAAAAGGCTATCAATGGCTACTAGCCACAATGGCTGTGCTCCACTGCTGGAGGCAGGATGCTCTTAAAGGCGCAGACACCTGAATAGCAGGCATTTTCAGGGTATTTCTTTCCAGAATGCGGCAGCTAGACTGGTGACTGGGAGCGGCCGCCAGGACCATATAACACCAGTCCTGAAAGACTGGTGTTCCCAGTACGTTTGGCTCCCAGTACGTTTCCAAGCACAATTCAAAGTGTTGGTGCTGACCTTCAAAGCCCTAAATGGCCTCAGCCCAGTATACCTGAAGGAGCGTCTCCACCCCATTGTTCAGCCTGGACACTGAGGTCCACCTCCAAGGGCCTTCTGGCGGTTCCCTCACTGCAAAAATTGAAATTACAGGGAACCAGGCAGAGGGCTTTCTCGGCAGTGGCGCCCGCCCTGTGGAAACCCTTCCACCAGATGTCCAGGAAATAAACAACCACAATGGTACCTCCGGTTACAGACGCTTCAGGTTACAGACTCCGCTAGCCCAGAAATAGTACCTCGGGTTAAGAACTTTGCTTCAGGATGAGAACTTCAGGAGGACCCATTAGCTAAAGTGGTACCTCAGGTTAAGAATAGTTTCTAGTTAAGAACAGACCTCCAGAATGAATTAAGCCCTTAACCCAAGGTACCACTGTATCTGACTTTTAGAAGACATCTGAAGGCAGCCCATTTGATGTTTTATCGTGCTTTTAATATTCTTTTGGAAGCCGCCCAGAGTAGCTGGGGAGACCTGGCCAGATAGGCTGGGTATGTAATAAATTATTATTATTATTATTATTATTATTATTATTGCAATGACGAGAGTTTGTTCTGGGCTGATGCAACACGTCCAGGTGTGTGCTCTGACATGCTTCCGTCTCTTTCTCTCCCTCTCCCCTTTCTATCCTCTCCCCTGCTTCTCCCTCTCTCCTCGATTCAATCGAACAGGTGTTTGTTCAGCAGAACTGCGTGGGAAGCGATGCGAGCAGAGCCTGTGTGGAGGGAGAAACTCATCAGGGCTGCTGAAAACACCGTAGAGAGGCGCTCTGTGGACTGATTCGACATTACGAGGTACGACAGATTGCTTTAATGAAAACGCGACGCTGCAGAGCGACAACACTGTAACCAGCTGTGCTGGAGACAAGACTCCGGTCTCAGAGCTCAGCTTCCTTACTGCACCCACATGATGGTCTCATCTCAGCTGCTCTGCAGTGCCACCACTGCAGATGGGCACAGGGTGGTACTGCAGGCTGTACCCCAGCTGTGATCAGGTGACGCAGCAGAGCCAATAAGGTGCCACCTGCCCCTTTAACGTGACTGACTCTATCCTGGCTCCTCAGTTTGTAGGACTTGTTAGTATATTTATAACCACTTTCTTACTTACAACACAGGAAACTGCTACCTTGTGTCCAGTCAGAGCATTAGCCTATCTTGCTTAGTAGTCTCCACTTTTAAATTAATATTATATTCAATGCTCCAATAAGCTATGAAAAAGTGCCAAGTATTAATTGAATTGGTTTTTCTCAGTCGTCCTCCCCAAAGTTCACAAATAAATCACGGCGGTTTAGCTTAAGTTCAGAGCATCCCGAAGCCTTCCGAACCCACTCCTATAAAAAGGCCCTCTTTCGCTGCCAATTTTAGTGGTGGTGACGTGATTAGGTTAAAAATAGTTCAAATATCCTTGCATGCCACCCCTTTTAAAATCTGGATAGAAAGAGCAAGTCAGGGAAACAGCCTACCGCCAGACCAAACTTAGACATTTCTGCTCAGACATAAACCCACGCTGAGCTGTTGTGGTGATTCTTTTTGTTAAAATTTGTATTTCCATCGATCTCAGGGTGGTTCACAAAATGAAATTATAGGAAACTCAAAATATATAATAAGGAACAAAAAACAAACCAATAATCCCTCCTCCCACTACACATTTGAAAGGGCTTTGGGTGTCAACCAGCCAAATATCTGGTTGAAGAGGAATGTTTTTCTCTAGAGCCTAAAGGTTTATAATGAAGGTGCCAGGTGAGCTTTCTTAAGGAGAACATTCCACAAATGGGGAGCCACCATAGAAGATGCCCATTCTTGTGTTGCCAACATCTGGACCTCTTGCGGAGGAGACACACAAAGAAGGGTGATCTCAGGCTCCATGTAGGTTCATAGGAAGAGAGGCAGTCCTTCATATGGCCCTACCTGGTTCAATGGGGCTCGCTCCCAGAATATAGCAGGGTGAATGGCTGTTATGTACTGAGTTGAATAGGATCCAAAATGCAGCAGTCTGATTGGTCCTAGAACAATAGGATTCAGAATGCAGCAGTCTGATTGGCCCTAGAACAATAGGAGCCAGAATGCAGCAGTCTGATTGGTCCACAGGAGCCACCCAATCCAGCTCCAGGTGGAAGTGAATCTGCAACCTGATTGGCCTACAGGAGAATCCCAGAATTAGCCAATCACGTGGGGCCCATTGGGTAAATAATGTATATAAGGCAGACATTTTGGGGGAATGTCCATTCCTCCTCACCGGTATGAGCTGAATAAAAAGCATGAAATCCACTCTCAACTCCGAGTATATTTCAATGGCAGAGACAGGTTAGATTCTGTGGCCCTGCAGATGTTGTTTCCATATGAACCTACCTGGACCCTGAGATCATCTTCTGAGTCCCTCCTTCGTGTGCCTCCTCCTTGAGAGGTCCAGAGGATGGCAACACAAGAACAGGGCCTTCTCTGCAGTGGCTCTCTGTCTGTGGAATGCTCTCCTCAGGGAAGTTCGCCTGGTGCCTTCACTATACCCCTTTAGACACCAGGCAAAAGCATTCCTTTTTAACCAGGCCTTTGGTTGATCTGATTGACATCCTATGCCCTTTTAAAATGTGGCTTTTTGTGGGGGGGGGAGGGCTCTTGGGCTTATTGCTTTTATTTTTATCATGTATTTTGTGGTTTTATCTCTTGATTTTATTTTGGGAACCGCCCTGAGACCCCTGGGTATAGGGTGGTATATTAATAATAATAATAATAATAATAATAATAATAATAATAATGTGTGTGCCTCACACAGTTAAAATATGCATGGTAAAGGAAAACGTTTGTTGGCTTTCCCTTCAAAAATCTGGCTTCTGCACATGGATTCTGACAAGAGGCCCTGAGGCCAAATGAGCAAAGAAAGAAAGAAAACAGAACCTCAGTCCAACCATTTTATCCCTGGTCATTTGGCAACCTTACGGTTCATGCATCAGAGCAGGTTTCATCCTTGCTCTATACCTCCCGCCCCAAGGGAGACTGTAAATGCAAAAGTGTAACAAAGACGGATGGTTGGCAACAGATTCGACGGCAAGGGCATTCTGCAAGTGAACACACTTCACTTTAGGTTATGAAGCCGAGGCTGCCAAGAACATCACCATATATCCCATGATGTCAGCCTTGTTTTGCCTCCTGAAAATCAATGTCAATTTCAGCTTGGCTCCAAGCCCTCCGGATTTGGTTTGTAAGAAGCTGCCTCTCGCTTCTTCGCTCCACCTTATCTGGTTGCATATTGATTGTTTTTAAAGACAGAGATAGTCTTTAAAACAAACAAAAAAACAAGCAAAACAGGAGATAGTTGCCTAGGCCTTTCTAGGAATCCCAACAAAGCAGAGGGAGAGATAGCAAGCAAATTCCAATTCTGGAACTCTGTTGCGGGGTGGGAGAGAAATCCCAATAAAGACAGATTTATTATTGCAGTGTCAGGTGCTTCAGAAATGCGCCACAAAGCACTTTGCAAGACCTAATCTTGGCGCCTGGGAAGTACTGGGAAGACAGAGCTCGTTCCGCCTGGCCTTTGGTTTGGACTCAGTCTGACCCTTATGTTTTCCCTCCCTTTACGGTTTTGATCTATGGGCTACTTTTTAAATTGCATTTTAAATTGCATTTTAACTTGCATTTTAAATTGCATTTTAAATTGCATTTTAACTTGTATTTTAAATTGTCCCCCCCCCATTATGATTTTACTGTAAATTTACTGGTGTTAGCCACCCTGAGTCCAGCTCTGGCCGGGGAGGGTGGGGTATAAATAAAATTTATTATTATTATTACTGAGTACTTTGTATGATGCTTCCCAATGCCCCACAACCAGCTGATTGTCTGGTTTTTGTTTTTTTGGGATGTGTCACGCAAGAGGCTTTGCAAACCCCCGCTGTCGGCACATCCCTTAAGCAGTAAAAGGGACCCCTGACCATTAGGTCCAGTCATGACCGATTCTGGGGTCGGCCATCTCACTTTACTGGCCGAGGGACCCGGCGTACAGCTTCCGGGTCATGTGGCCAGTATGACTAAGCTGCTTCTGGCGAACCAGAGCAGCACACGGAAACACCGTTTACCTTCCCGCTGGAGTGGTACCTATTTATCTACTTGCACTTTGATGTGCTTTCGAACTGCTAGGTTGGCAGGAGCAGGGACTGAGCAATGGGAGCTCACCCCATCATGGGGATTCGAACCGCCGACCTTCTGATCGGCAAGTCCTAGGCTCTGTGCACCACCCACGTCCCTTAAGCAGAGGCTTCTCAAATGCACGACAACCAGCTTCCGAAAGCTCTCTGAGACTAGTCTCTGCTCCCATCTCTGAGATGCTATGTTCCTTTGCTGCCATTGTATCGAGAGAGTTCTGCTCGAAAGGACAAAAGGAAGCACCGTTGAATGCTAAATGTTTTGTTGAATTTTAAAAATAAAAAATAAAATAAAGTAGCTGAACTGAATGTGACCGCGAGAGGAAATACTTTTATTTTGGTTTTGGCTGGAACACCTACTTAGGTTTTTTAATGTGTCAACACTGCCACCTTGCGCCGAAAGGGAAATCTATCTTTTAAAGCATACAGCTGTGCGGTAAGTCATCTGTGCAGGGCTAACATCCCATAATTGCAAATTGCCTGAGGTGGGTGTTTGGTGATTCTGCCTTCCTGGTGAAAGCATGGTCCTCTCTCCTGTTGCCTCCCAAACCTTTCTCCTCCTCTCTTCCCCTCTACAGCATTAGACAGGGCAGTACTACTGCTTTCTCGGCCGACACCTCCCCCTCCTTTTTGTTTTTATATAATCCATTTCTTACATTAACATGTCACCTTTTTTCCCTCCAAGGAGCTCAGAGGTGTGGTACCTTGGTTCTCAAACTTAATCCGTTCCAAAACCAAAGCGTTCCAAAACCAAGGTGCGCTTTCCTACAGAAAGTAATGCAAAAATGGATTGATCTGTTCCAGACTTTTAAAAACAACCCCTAAAACAGCAATTTAACATGAATTTTACTATCTAACAAGACCACCGGTCCATAAAATGAAAGCAATAAACAATGTACTGCAGTCACACAATCAGTCAATCAGTAGCTGGACTGACTGGGTTCCACATAGTCACAAAAGCAAAACAAAACAAAACAAAACAAAACAAAACAAAACGAGCCACAAAAACAAAACCACAAAATAAATAGCAAAAAGAGACAGAGCTCAGTGTAACACTCGAAACGGAAGTGTAGCACTCAAAACGGAGCATGTTCGGCTTCCGAAAAAAGTTCACAAACCAGATCACTTGTTTCTGGGTTTGCAGTGTTTGGGTTCCAAGTTGTTTGAGTTCCAAGGCGTTTGAGAACCAAGATACCACTGTACATTGTTCTTCCCTTTCTCCATTTAATCCTCCCAACAAGCCTGTGAGAGGGGGTGTCTTGTTAATTCCCCCAGTGCTCCAGCAGATGACATTCCATTTCCTCTGGAAAAAGACCTGGGGTGGAACTCTCGTATTATGGACTTCCTCCACGGTTCTGCTGGGCTCCATACATAGAGCTGATCATGGTGCAATTGCTTGCAAATGGATGTCGTGTGATTGTAGAAAATTGCTGCCAAATGCAACAAAAATTGATTTTACTTCTGAAAACAAAACAAAAAACCACATTTCTTTCTTTAGACTATCTATAACCTGCTTTATCAAAAATGTTTCCTAACACAATAAAGCTGGGAATAAAACACAACTGAAGTCGACAGTCCAATGGAAACAGGCATACAGAAAGCCAACAGCACAATTCCTAATGACAACTTCTCCTTGTTTGCACAGCAGGTCCCAGCCAAGTATCGACAAATACCTTAACAACGTCGAAAGTAGCCTATTTTAAGAGGAAATATGCAGAAGAAGAAGAAGATTTACATCAGGATTACCAGGGGTATTTTCCAAAAGTGAGTATGCTTCCGAGATCAAAAAGAATTGACCTCCCCCCGCCCCTGAAAAACAATAACTCTCTGATTTTGACAAACAATCAAAGAGAGCCAGTGTGGAGTAGTGGTTAAGGGCATTAGTCTTGTAATCTGGTGAACCGGGTTCGCTTCCCCGCTCCTCTACATGCAGCTGCTGGGTGACCTTGGGCTAGTCACACTTCTCTGAAGTCTCTCAGCCTCACTCACCTCACAGGGTGTTTGTTGTGGGGGAGGAAGGGAAAGGAGAATGTTAGCCGCTTTGAGACTCCTTAAAGGGAGTGAAAGGCGGGATATCAAATCCAAACTCTTCTTCTAATTTACAACATTGCTGTAGAGAGCTAATTTCAATCCAATAGGTAAAGGTAAAGGGATCCCTGACCATTAGGTCCAGTTGTGACCGACTCTGGGATTGCGGCACTCATCTCGCTTTATTGGCCGAGGGAGCCGGTGTACAGCTTCCGGGTCATGTGGCCAGCATGACTAAGCCGCTTCTGGTGAACCAGAGCAGTGCACAGAAATGCCGTTTACCTTCCCACCAGAGCAGTACCTATTTATCTGCTTGCACTTGGACGTGCTTTCAAATGGCAGGAGCAGGGACCGAGCAACGGGAGCTCACCCCGTCGTGGGGATTCGAACCGCCGACCTTCTGATCGGCAAGTCCTAGGCTCTGTGGTTTAACCCACAGCGCCACCCGCATCCCTTCAATCCAATAGAGAGGCCAAATTTATTTATTTATTTGATGCTTTTATATACTATTTTCTGTCACAAAGTGACCTCTAAGTGGTTTGCACAGAGCACGCAAAACAATAAAAACACAAGTTCTGAAATGCCTTTGTTACTCATAGCAGTTGTTTCCCAATGAATTCAGAAGGACCCCATTTGCTTTAATTTTTCATTCCATCTGAAGCAGAAATCCAAAGTCCCATAGCCTTTCTCAAGCTGGTGCCCTCCAGAAGTTGTAGAACATTATCTCCTATCATCCTCATTCCGCCTGCCCAATGATCAGGGGTGATGGGAGATTCGGAATAGGGCAACCAAAATGTTTAAGGAGGTGGATCAACGCTCCTACATAGAAAGGTTGCAGCATTTTGTGCCTTTGTAGTTTAGAGAAAATGGTGACATGGTGGAAGTTTGTAAAATTAGGCATGGTATGTAGAATGTGGATGGGAACAATGGTTTCTCCCTCTCTCATAACACTAAAACTCATGGAAACGCAGAGAGGCTGAATGTTGGAAAGCCTCAGGACAGAGAAAAGGAAGGATTTTGGGCCAGAGAACCCTAACGGTCCCTTCCATCTCATGATGCAGTTCAACGGAGGGAGAATCAGGTTCAAATTTGGCCCACCTTTGTACAGGTTTTGAATCCAGTCTTCTTCACCATCTTGTGGGAATGTTGTGGGTAGCAGGAGAGGATATACTGATTAAATATTATCCTTCCTAACTCACGCTAGTGAGTTTATTCATACAGCAGAGTACATTCCCCTCTTTACACAGCAGGAAGCTAGTTGCAGATTGGTTAGAATCTCTTAAGTTCTATTATTCCTGGTAAGACCCCTTTGATTCCCCCCCCTAAAAGAATACAGACACAACAGTCTTCTTTTAAAAGTAATAAGAAGTTTACTCACATTCAGTTCACAGTTGGATCCCTGAAGGCAGGCTTTAGCTTAGAGTTACAGAAGAGGGTTTGAGTTCATCCCATATGGGAACTCATCCCACATGCAGTCCAAGACAAGAGAAGGCATCAAAAGAGGAAGGTGGCTGTGTGACTGGACCTTTTGTTAGGTCTGGAAGGGTCACACCAACCTACCTGGTCACATGCAAAGGAAGGGTGCTCCAGACCAGGTGTAACAGGAAGTTCAACTGGCTGGACCAACATTCCCCTGCATGTCCACTCTAGGCAAACAGGAAATGTTGTATTTGACTGCTTATGTTGCATCCCACACATCTGATGTTTCTGTTATGTACTAAATCAGTTTTCTGCGCTAACGGTTTCTATTTCTCCTTTAAACTCACCTCAGCACCTGATCCTGCCCGAAGACCGGACTTGTATCTTGAAACTTTCTCTGCAGAAGCTCCAGTTCCTTGAAGATCCTGAGATCTACCTCCGCCGGTCCGTCTTGATCAACAACCTGCTGCGGAAGATTCACCTGGAAACGGAGAGGGAACGCTATGAATACTTTAAGGGGAGTCCGTGCTGCCGGACTGCCTACGCGGATGCACGAAAACGGCTGAAGTTCATGGTCCAAGAATGCCGTTCTCAATCCCTTTATTACGAAGAGCTGCATTCGTATCATATCGTGCCTTACCCTACGGAGAATGCCATTTACGGAGTGGGCTACACGAGTGGCCATCTGGAGCAGAATTCTCAGTTGCTTATTTATAAGATGGAGTAACGGTCGTGCTTTCTTTTCTTGTAGACCTGCTGGCTGTTTTGCTTCTGAGCGGCTAGGAGGGCTTCTTAGCCTGCTACGGCGAGGCGCTAGCTGCAACCGTAGGGAGAGGTCAAAGGTTATTGCGTCATCTTAGGCTGCAATGATGGTTGCTCTGGGTGAGCTTCGGCCAGCTTGGTTGCAAACATTGCTTGGAACTGGTGCAATAGGGAGGTTCCGCAGAAGCAGAGAGAGATCTTGTGCTCAGCGATCAGTGGCTTTTCGATTTGTCCGTTATGTAAATAGATGAATTAACATTAGCAGCTTAACTAGACCACCCTTGCTTAGGAAATGTAAACTGACGACAGGAGACTAATCCGTTAGTGAGGTTTTTGGTGAGAATCAGATTGACTTCTCAGAAGGGTCAAGAAACAAGCTTTCATTTTAAGGGAGTCCTTCGGCATCGAAGGGTTCTCTGCCGTTACAGATATGGATTCCTTTTCACGCTTTTTTTGCTTAGGGTATTCCACGCTATTAACTGTTCTGAGATTGTTATGCTTAGCCATTCATTTGCTGGCTTGCTGACTTTGCCAGCACGCATGGTTCCTTGTTTTCGTTGGCACTTCTGACTTTGTGTAACTTCAGTGAATTTGGTGAGCCGGAAAAACGCATTTGCCCCGTGATCACCGCTTTCTAAGCGATCCTCTTTGAGTTCCTGTCAAACTTATATGACGGTTCAGTGGCAGGGTGCTTATCAGTATTAATGCTTTGGCAGGTCGTTTTGTGTGTGTGTGTGTGTGTGTGTGTGTGTGTGTGTGTGTGTGATTTGGGGGACAAATATATGTTTGATTCGGTGAAACATACAAGGCAGTTGTCCCAGTGTTCACAGTTGATGAATGCATCCAGCTGAAGCTTAGCGAATGTCTTCTACGACCCTCGAGCATGTCACGCAAAGGAAGATGGAGATCAACAAAGATTGGTGAGGATGCCATTGCTGCCCATGGTGTGTGGTGAAATTGCCAAAGAGAAGTATTAGACAGGAGGGTGCAAGAGGCCGCAGAATCCAAAATGAGGAATGCACCAAGTCCCGATTGACACTACAAGCTCATGGCAGATTTGTACCAATTTTTACTCTGGACTTCTGCTAATTAATCTTGGGAACTATAATTTGCTGAGGTTTTTGCTATCAGTTCCTACTACAACCCCCACAGTTCCCTAGGGAGGCAGAGTCAGTAGGAGGCAGTAACAGGGCCTTTCCTTTGGGCTTACGTCAAAATTAAACTCCAAGAAGAAGCGAGTTTAAGGCCGAATCCACACCACACATTGAAAGCGCATTTATACCACTTTAACAGTCCCAAGAAATCCTGGGAACTGTAGTTTGTTAAGGGTGCTGCAAGTTCCTAGGGGACCCTTGTTTCCCCCCGCAGAGTTATAAATCCCATAGTTCCCTGGGAAGAGGGCTTGACGGTTAAACCACTCAGGGAATTGCAGTTCAGGATAGGGGTCTCAGCACCTTTAGCAAACTAGACTTCCCATGATTCCTTTGGGGAAAGCCGTGGCTGTTCAAAGAGGTCTGATAGTGCTTTAAATGTGTGGTGCAGATGTGGCCTACATCTGCAGTGTGGGTGTGCCTTCCAATCTAGGGAAGCTTATATTTGAACCTTTGAAAGTTGCATCATTCAGCATTAAAGGACACAACATTTTCCTGAAGATGCACTGCTGAGATGAAGTCCGTATTGTGCTGTTCCGTGGCTCCTACTGAATTTCCTTCGGGTTCACGCGGGAGAACAATCCAAAGGGTTGGGCCCTAATGGGATGCCATCATTTGCAAGCATATGGATCTCTTTGTTTGCATTTGTACGTTGTAACTTTATTTTATTTTTATTTTAAAGAAAGCTTAAGTTCAAGAAGGACTAATACTGACAGATGTTATACGAGGGTGTCCTCTTAACTTCCGCAAGCAAAGCCATCGTTCTTATGCAAGGGGCAGTTAAAGCCGTCTCTGAATGTTTCTTTTCTAGGGGGGCAAGTAAGAAAAATCTTTCGCGAAGTCTAGCAAAGGGGTGGGGAGGGAGGGGACCATCATTCTGAGCCAACTTAAAATGCCTCGGTTTTGCCTGTGTTTTTGCTCGTTTTTGCACACACATCATTAGCTAACTCTAGGGGTGCTTGTGAGGATTCCCAGCTGATCGTGTGAATGGACCTCATTGCATAGCACTGTGTGTCTGCTGGTGCTGGGCGATGTGGAAATCCTATTTTGTGATGCTTGCACACACCTGCATGCTACAGCCAGTGAAGGAGGCTGGCGCCGACCCACGCACTTGCTTGTTCCACAACATTTGTGTGGCGCTCGGTTCTAAGAAAACCCCAAAGCGGTTTGCAAAGTGACCGATGTCGAGGTCCATTGAGAGCCAGGGGCAGAATCATAGAATTGTAGAGTTGGAAGGGACCCTGAGGATCATCTAGTCCAACCCCCTGCAACTGCAGGAATATGCAGCTGTACCATGCGGGGATTGAGCCTGCAAGCTTGGCATCGTCAGCACCATGCTCTAACCAATGGGGCTCTCCAGGGTAGCCAACCGGGTGCCCTCCAGATACTGGCTCCTCTGTGCACTGTTAGCCTTAACTGACCTTAGATTTCTCGTGCTTTGATACCGCCTCGTGAGAATAGCTTCGCACAGAGGCTGCCTCTGTACTGCCTCTGCACAACTCAGTAATAATGTTGAGCATCGTGCTTTAGGCATCTGAGAGTGCATAAACAGTTTGCCATCGCGGCAGGTGGCATTGGAGACTGAAGTGTGCCTAGCAGAAAAGTGGCTATTTAGCGTTCAGTGGAATGTTGCATGTTTTTCCTGCTTTCTTTCTTTTTTTAAAAAAAATAATGGCTTCTAGATAAGGAACTTGAGGACATCAGCCTTTTTCCTACTGATCACAGTGTGTTCGGAATATTGGCAATCCCAATGTAGTTAGAGTCAGCAGTCAAATTCACGTTGGCAGCAATCAGCCCTGGTGGTTTCCCTTTTTACCACTGAATCAGCGGAGGCTGGTTTACTTAGGGCAAATGGGGCACTGCCCCACCAACCTTAGAGTGCCCACAGCCAACCCCCACCAGCCTGCCTTCTTGCCTACAACCAGTCTAGGTGGGTGGCTCTGGCTGTCTGCTTCCTCCTCTGTGTTGCCCCTTCTTCAGCTCAGCAGACAGGAGGAGGGGGACAAAACATAGAATGACTTGGCTCTGCCTGTCATTGGCTCTGGCGCCACCTGCTGTTAGTCTCCTTGCCTTCCACCCTACCAGTCGCAATGGACATCAGCCATCATTGCATTGAATGTATCTGTTGGCAGCTCTGGCATGTTCTAGGGAAAATTTAATCAAGTGTCCCAGGTTGTTGGCTTACATTGCTATTACCGTTGTGTACATCCCAGTTTCCAACTGGTGAGAGATGCCAGGGAGTCCAGTGCTTATCCAGGTTTTGGTTTCCTTGGAATGAAGGTCCATGGAGGTGATGGTGTCTTTGGGATGTATGGCTTTATTTACGCATATATTCAACCTGTGCATGGGATGAAACAGCTCACAGCAGCAACAACCCAGCATATCTTGCTCCTCCATTAGGTTTCCGGGAGCCGGGAGCCACATCTTTGGGACCAGCACAGATCAAGACAAGTCTCTGTGTCTCCAGATTCCAGCATTGGCCAAAACTCTGTCCTGATCCACAGGCCCAGCAGAGGGACTGTGTGCATGGTTTGGAGCAGGGATATCAAAGAAGCCTATCGAAAACACCAGAGGGATCAATTCTAGTGCTTTATTAGGTAAAGGTGAAGGGACCCCTGACCATTAGGTCCAGTCGTGACTGACTCTGGGGTTGCAGCGCTCATCTCGCTTTATTGGCCAAGGGAGCCAGCGTACAGCTTCCGGGTCATGTGGCCAGCATGACTAAGCCGCTTCTGGTGAACCAGAGCAGTGCACGGAAACACCATTTACCTTCCCGCCGGAGCGGTACCTATTTATCTACTTGCACTTTGATGTGCTTTCGAACTGCTAGGTTGGCAGGAGCAGGGACCGAGCAACAGGAGCTCACCCCGTCGTGGGGATTCGAACCGCCGACCTTCTGATCGGCAAGTCCTAGGCTCTGTGGTTTAACCCACGTCCCTAGTGCTTTATTATAAGAGGTCTAAACTGACAACACAGCCTGCAAAGTCTTGCTGCCGTTACAGACACAGGGCAAACAGCAGAGCAGTAAGAGGCCATCATGAATTGTCTGCAAAGTGCTGATATGTTAAGTATTATTTATACACAAAGCAAGCTACATAGGCTGGCATCAGTAGCCCTATTAACTCACCCCTGGCTTAGAGGACCCTTCCACCTCTCTGATAAAGGAGTAGCTGAGGAGCAGCCAGCTTGAGAAGCTCCCTGGTCGCCACTAACTGAACGAAACAAAGGCTCCCAAGCAGATAAGCATTTGTGAGATATTCTTGCAGCAAATCACAGTTAGCCCCCAGCTTAGCTTGACTACCAAGGTGGTGTTTGCAGACCTTCTGACACAGATTCCCCAGTGGTCCTACCCAAACTCACAAGCAGAAACATATGGTCACCCTTCGCCTATTGTTCTCCCTTCCAGAAGGATGTTGGCATTCAATTAGGTGATGCGGGAAAACACTAACCCATTCATGGAAGCAGGGCAGCCACTTTGCACATGTAAATGGAGGTACTTAACTGGCCAGATAAGCTCCTTAGCAAAGGAGCAGGTTTGGCTGGTTCAGCAGGTTTCCTGTTACTCTTTCTGACCTCACAGGTCACATGTTTGGAAGGGGCCTGCAGGTGTCATTCATACTGACCCCACAAACCTATTATTATTAAGCATCTTGAGGCCATTTCATGCTACAATAAAACATACGTAAAACAATTGTATATATAAAAACAGCTGAACCAACTGCATAGCCACCTCCTCTCTCCAGTCATTATAAGATAACCCTTTAGTGTGGCTATTCATCCTGAATTGTTGTGAATGGGTAGCGCGTTGCCATCA